CCTCTTGCGGCATGGCCAACCCCCGCGGGCACCTGCCCTAGGGAGCGCGGCCAACCCCATCCTGCAGCATGGCCAACCCCCGCGGGCGCCTGCCCCGGGGGCAAACCCCCCTTCTCCGACCCGGCCTGGCCCAGCCAACTCCCTCCCCTCCCGCAGCGTGGCCAAACCCCGGGGCCAACTCCTGCTCCCGCGCCGCAGGGAAACCCCTGTGCCCAACTCACCCCTCCTGCGGCGCAGGGAAGCCTTCGCACTCCTCCTCTAGGGCCAACGCCCCCTTCCCCAGCACACAACAGAACTGTGGGAGGGGGAAGTGACACGGGCTTCAGAGAGGACTTCCGTCCACCCCGCGGGAAGCCGGCACTACACTAGAGATAGGTAGTGGGGCTTCTCGGGGATGGGAGGAAAATGGGGGGCGGGGTTGCCCGAACGCCTCGCGATCAACTGGTCGAGGCCTCACGATCGACCAGTCGATCGCGATCAACGGGTTGGTAACCACAGCTCTACGGATAGGGGCTGCTGCCACTCTGCGCTGTTGCCTATGCATCAGGCATCAGCATGGGGCAGCAAGCAGCCCGTCTATGCAGGGAGCTCATTTTTTAAACTGGCTTCCCTCGCAGACTGGCTCCCCCCTGCCATCCCTGCTGGCTCTGATAGCGAAGCAGCAGTGCGGGATAGCAAGGGGCTCCCCAGGAATGCATGACTGCCAGCTCCCCGTTCTCCGCCCGGGGACTATCAAAAGATTTCAAGTGGTTACATGACTATTCAATTATCTGATAGCTAACATCCCTAAAGCAAGCTACATCGTGTATATATTGGTCTAGCTGCAACATGCATGGGAAGGAAATATACTGTGCCCTATATAATTATAGATCAACTAAAAATAAGAAAAGTGGGATAAATAGAAGTTTCAAAACAATATGCAGTGTGTTGGACTATCTCCAATACCAGCTAAGTACCTCTTTAAGCTTACATTTGACTAGCTTGCTCTGGGTGGGATCTGTGGAATGAATGTTATTGAAAGAATGTAAGAGATTTTCACTCAGAATACTATAGACCCACTGTGAAGGAAACTTCTTATCACATTCTGAAGAAAGGGGTAGCATGCAGGGGAGTAAGAAGATGTAGTATTGCAAAATAATACAGATTGGCCTAAAACAATTTTTCTTGTATGTGTATATGTAGTGAATGTCTGACCTTTGGACTGTCAATTCCTGCAATAGCTATATTCAGTTGGAACAGTGAAACTTGTGATCCATAGGGATAATAGTTGTGGAATTTTCTGTCAGCTCAGATTAGAATAAAAACGGTAAACCAAAGACCATTTTTGGAGCACAATGGACAAAATCTTGTGCATGTCCTTCCTTGATGATGGGGGAGAATATGCCTTTGATCATTACAGGGTGAATTTTAAAATAATGACCTGTAAATAATAGATATTATCAAAGGGAAACAACTGGTAGATCCTAGATGTTCAGATACCAGGCTAAGAAATACATAGGCATATAGGTTAGGTTCACTTCATTGATGTCACTGCTAGAAACAGCTTTCTGAATTCTATTCAAGGGTGTTAATCAATCTATCTGTCCCTAGACAGTGCTATACATTAGAGATCTTTGTGCACTGTCATAATAGCTGTCAGTGTCTAATTCTCAAAATGATAATGTTTCAGCTGATACTTTGGTAAAAACGCTATTGAGGCCTGTAACTGTGTTGTATTTCACCCAGTTAGTAAACTTGATTTTCCTATAGGAGATTAATAGATCCCATTTTCATAAGATACGTACCTTTCTTTCCAAATACCCACACTCTAACATTTTTCCAGTTATAGGCTTATTATTTGCAAATACTTTTGAGTTATTTGTTGTAAAATGTCAAGTTTTGTGTATATTGCATTTCATTGGATTCAGCAAACACAGTTGGCACTAGTGAAACGGTTTTTACAAACCAGATTTGCCATGTCCACAGGAATTGGGATATGATTCTCAGAGAGGAAGCAAGTCCCGAGAACAGAGTTAGAAACTAAACTTGCACACTTACTGAATTTTTGCCACCTGCTTCTAAGATAGTGTCAGAATTGCATTTGGATACAAACCAAACCAGCATTAAAATCTAGGTACTGGTATATATAGTATGTGTAACCCTTGGACTGTCACTTCCTACAATAGCTATATTCAGTTGGAACAGTGAAACTGGGAACTATGACAGGGTTTTGGCTGCTGGAGTTTGGATCTATTAGGTTAATTATCAGTGACTGAATAATGAACCTTTTTGAATGGGATTTTGATTTTCCTATGATTCCACCCAAGATCTGAGTCCCCATAACCTACTCAGCCCTTTTTTTTTATGGTGTGTCTTTCCTTGCAATTCAGACCACCTACCCCAGTACATGTCAGACAGAAAGTTAAAAGATAAAATATTGCTTTCAGTTTAAAAAATCATTTTGTTTGAAAATGTCCCCTTACTATTTGTAGAAACTCTGAGCAAACTGGTAAGATGTTTAGTTATTCACAGGAGCTACATTTACCCCCAACTGTGAAAACGCCCCTAGGGCTTTACAACTACAGCATATCCTTTTGTTTGCCAAAAGTGAGCAGGAAATACCTATCACTGTTTGAGTTTTTATTCCCTCTGCTGCTGACCACCATGGTTTGTAAAATTCCCTCCTACTGTTGCAACAACCTATTTTTCTTAAATACAGGCAGTCCCCGGGTTACGTACAAGATAGAGACTATAGGTTTGTTCTTAAGTTGAATTTGTATGTAAGTCGGAACTGGCTCCAGATTCAGCTGCTGCCACTGAAACTGACCAGGGGCTGACTACAGGAAGCCGGAGGCAGAGTTGCTCTGCCCCCAGCTTCCTGGAATCAGCCTGATCAGTTTCAACAGCTGCTGAATCTGGAGCCTGGGACAGAACAGCTGGGGCACTGCCCAGTAGGTTCCCACAGGACCAACCAGGCAGCACCCCAGCTGCTCTAACCGAGGCATCCTGCAACAAAAGCCTGGTCTGCTGGGGGAGGAGGGGCGCACTAGCGCCCCCTC